CTTCAGTTATTTGAAGCCTTCAGTTATCCAAAATTCTCCCCTTCTCCACCATTATGTTCAGATAATTGAGGCTGTGTGGAGCACACTTGCAGCCAGCTAGAAGAGCGAGCATTATCTTTCAGCTGATACAACTATCAATAGCAAGTGTACAGCATATACTACAAAGGCTTTATTGTGCATATGTAGGGAGATAGAGATGAGATATGGTTCCGGGAGGCAGTTTGTCTAGTGGTTACAGTACAGAGTTGGGTGTCATGAGACCAAAGTTTTAATTACTACCTCTGCTACCGACTCTTACTCAGATAAACTGCTCGCTGTCTCTGCATGCCAGCATCTCACCCAGCAAAAAAAAGGGCACTGTGAGAATTACCCACCTTTGTCAAGCACTTTGATACCCTTAGATAAACAGCTTTTTATGTATAACTGCTGAGTCTTACTGTCCATTTAACTGCATTTCTAAAACTCTTTGGAAAGAAAGAATTGAAAAAAAAAATAGCTGAAAACATTTGAGAAGCATAACTTTAGTTGTCAGAGACTGGCACAAAGTTCAGCAGAACTGTTCTGACTTAAATCAAGGCAGACCTGGCCCTTGAAACAAAGCTTGCTGGATGTGACGTGGCCAGTGTGAACAAGCTGTACCCGTGCTAGGTACAAACTACCAAATGCAGATTCATATGTATTGCTGCAAAATCTTTATGTCTTACCACAAACTAGTACCGGTACTTGGTATTTGAACAAGAATAATTCAGCATTCATTAAAGCAATAATCTGTGTGTTCAGTATGCTCTGAACAAAGTAATTTTGTTTAGAGAGTCCCAAAACTTTCCGCATAGAGGGATTGGCACCAGTGTGTGTCCTCCCCTCAAATGGAGCCAAGCGATGCGCAGCACATCACACGCTGGCACCAGGAAAGGTGCCAGCCTCAAAGAACACATCTTAAACCATGCTGCCATTAATGCTTCCAGCACACAAAATGCACAAAGATAATAGAAAACAATGGTCTTTGAATAGTGATAAACCTCCTGATTGCAGGTGAGGGACTACACAAGCTCCTTGTACAAAGCTGTAACTGCACGTACAGTACACCCGGATACGGTGCAGATGCATTTGTAATCACCATCCACCAAACTCCTTATGAGCAGGCAGAACAAGACCCTGTGAGGTAAGGAGAAGGCACCTGCCGCTCTGCTATCTTTCTGCTTTGTCTTATAAGCATCTGAAATTCTGTTTCAAGGCTTTTCCACGTGGCGATTTCTATAAATCGCCCTTATCGGCTGGAGTGCTGAGGTGAGGGGAAAAAAATCCCATGCTCACTTAAAGCCTTTTATTTCTCTTGTGACATGGACATCTTGGAGAGCAGATTAGCCAAAGGAGAGAGGGAAAAAAAAAAAAAAAAGCAAACAGAATACTGTGACCTAATCCTTCCTCTCAGAAAAAGAAAGGGGGAAAGAAAGCCTCTTGTGATCTCCAAGGAGTAACTTGCCTTGTAAACTAGTCTCCTGTTTGAAACGGAAACAAGAATGTGAATCCTGATACAGAGAGGCTACCAAAGGCAGAGAACAGCTTAACAGACCAGAGATTTTCCCTTTCAGTGCAATGCTGGGTATTACACTGGTCCTGCCTACATTAGAAATACAGGCAGCAAAAACTTAACAGGTTACAAGATCCTCTGGCCACAAAGACATCGAAATGTGGTTATTTTTATACACTAGGCAGGAGCATAATCTGTGTCCAAGTTTATAAACTGTGGGCTTGTAGTTTATTAAAAGGATTCTATTACTGGCTCCCCTCTCTTCAGTTATTGCATCCAACCCCCGTGACATGCAGTTAAAGCCCTCTCAAGCCTGCCCCTCTATAAAACCAGGAATGCTGCCCCTGCCCCCTACTCCCCTTAGGGAATGGGGGCAATCAGCATTAGAGTAACTAAATATTTGAAGAAGATATCAATTTTTACTGGCAAACATTACTTGGAATAAAAGTTTGTAGTTCCTCAAATGCTTAGATAAAAGGACACGAAGGCAGGCACATTGGCTGCCATTGTCCTTTTTTATCAGGTAAGAATGCTGAGATACGGGATGAGAGATGATGACAAAATTGAGAGGAACCCCTCAAAACTCCCCAGACCCCTTTGCAGCACCAAAGTGGACAATTGGCCCACTCAGCCTAGTCTCTTCTCCAGCTCCAGCCAGCCAGATCATTCCTAGCAGCCAATTCTTGAGATAAATTTAATTTCTCCTTCATGCACATGCCCATGACTAGGCTACTTACACCCTCCATTTTTCATTGTCCAGAAATACTTGGAGCAGTGAGGTTTTTTGCAGCTTCTTTGAACACCTCACTCCATTCTCAAGAAGCACTGTGAATATGCTCTGAGCACTGTGGTGGCATCACTTCTGTTTCATTCAAGCGGAGGATCTGACCATCACTGGCTCTGACACACAAACACAACTGGCATGAAAAGCTTCCAGGAATACTCAGGTGTTTATGCTTTTGTTTTACTCTGCAGGAGCACAAACACTAGTGAAATCCTGAATGGCAAACAGAATTTCATCGTGGCAACAGCTAATTAATCTTTTTATATTCCAGGTATTATCTTCAGACTTCTTTTTTGGCATCCTTCCCCAGTTCCTATCCAAGTATCCAATGTCCACAGCTTCCTAAAACATGGTGGCAGATGCCATTCTGATAGGAAACCAGAAATTCCTTCCTGATCCAGCAGATTACGTCATGCCTCTGAAATGCAAGATCAAATCCAATCCAGCTACCTGTCCATCTCCAGAGTGCCTATCAATTAGCATTAGACAGTAATTTGATTAAATTGGTATGTTGAGATTTTATTTGATTCCACCTAAGGAGTGTAATTCCCCTCACGTGTTCTCTGTAACCCACTAATTTTCCAATGGAATGGGAAACACAGTTGGGATTTGGAGGCTAGTTCTTCTACTTGTTAACATGTGAGCTTAAAACCACAGTAAAAAATAAATCCGTGCAGCTTGGTAGAATGAGACTTGCCAGTTTAAGAGAAAACTGCTTTCTGCAGAATAACCCAAATGGGGGGGGGAAAAATGTATACTTTTAACTCTGAAACCTGAAGTGTTCTTTGAGGGAAAACGAATACATTTTAGCCTTAAAGGGATCACAGACTGCAATTATATAATTCTTGTCAACTGATGTTAAAGATAGGCTGGAAAGAATGTATGCTGAGGCCCTGCAATAAAACGAGCTCCTTTACTCCTTTCAAATGTTTGCAAGCCTTGGAGGTTATCCAAAGGTCGGATACAGGAAAAGTCTTGGTGAACAGAAAACATAATCATGAGCTTTTTTAATACGGGCTCTTTTTGTAATAAAATAAAATTATGGTAAGGGAAGGGAGGGCGGGCTCTGTCTCCTCAGATCTAAGGCCAGAGGGGCTGAGTTTTAATCAGAGGCTGCTGTTCTCCCCTCCTCTCTCCTCCCCAGCCTGTCACTGCACAGAGAGAGAAGCCAGCAGAGGTGCACAGGCACTGGGTGTGCTGCAGAGGGGCAGAGGCACAAGCCTGCACTGAAACCCCTTGGCTTTGCTGCAATGCAAGGACATATTTCCCCAGAGGGAGATGGATCTTCATGGCCAGCCAGCTTGCACAGGAAACAAGCAGATCCTCCTCAACACCTGGAGTCTGTTGGAGAACAGCTCTGTACAGTGCTGGAACTAATGTGCTGCCCCTTCTGGGGTGCACCAGAACAAATGGCATGTTTCCCACAGAAACACCCCTGGAAGCTGGAAGTAAGGTATATGGAGAGTATCACATCCAGCTGCAACTACACAGGAGTTGTCAATAGACTCATGAATTTTGGGGTGGAATCCAGGGCTGCAGTCTTTACTCTTTCCAAAAGTGATATGGCTTTAGTTGTGGCCACCTGCAGTCAGGGAGCTGCTTTTTGTTTTACTTGGAGTACCTGGGGACACTGCCTGGTTACCCCACCTGGGCTATGGCCACAAGTCACACACGAGCACTTGCACCACCTCCTGCATTTGGTTTCGAAATTTTCTATCCAAGTACAGATTTGACCTCATCCCATCAGTCTGCTAAACACAAACCTGGAGCAGCAAACCATGAAGTGTCTGGAGGGAATTCCTGAAGTGGACATTTGCTGAAGACATCAGGCACTTCTGAGTTGTGATCATCCTCCACCAGAAAACCTGTGAGACACCCACCAAGACTGGCTTTGTTCTAATCCCACACTCTGTAACACTTTATCACAATTTATGGTGACTGATCCGTCATCCAATGGTTGCTACAAACCTGTCTTACCTGTACCTCAGAGGCTCAGAAAACAATCTTAAAACAAATAATACTTTTTTCTCTCAATGTTTTAATGATCCATCTGGGGAATGTCATTCATGCTGACAAGCTCATCACTAGTTTTGAAGTAGTGGTGAATAGTTTTGAAGAGTTTTGAAGCTATTTTTTCCTGTTTCTTGAATTTCTTCTGGACTTCCTCTCGCGTCGCACCATTATCAGTCTGGATGGAGACACCTTTCCCATTCCACGCTTCATATGAATAAATAGAATTAGAGAAAAAAAAAAAAAAAGAAAAAAGAACATACCTACCATTCTCATCTAAGCAAGAAACCCACTTGAGAGCTGGAGAGAGTTGGAGCAATGTGGATTGACTGGTAAATGCACCTGCTCTGTTAGGATTTGAAACTATTTCACATTAGCAGTGCTTCCATGGACCATCTCTCATCCTACAGACAGGAAAACTTGACTGCATATTGAGTGTAAATTTAAGCCTTGGGGGTGTCCTGTGCAGGGCCAGAAGGTGACTTTGATGATCTTAGTGAGTCACATGCAACTCAGGATATTCTAAGATTCTATGAAAGTATTTCTTTTTTTACATCATTTCATGCCTGTAGTATGTTTTCTGTTATGAACAGCACATTTTCTTCTCCCTCATCTCTGAGGAAGAGATGCCTTTCACAAAACCAGAAGACAAAGACCTTTGACAGACCCTCAACATTACTGCATGCAGAATCTGCCATATATTTATTTTTAACAGTATAGCGAGTCACAAAAGAGATGTGACTGGCAGTCCTATTGCATTCCAGGAGTGATGGTACAAGCCATTAGGAGGTATGACCCAGAACATCACCTCTCCTTTTCATTTCACCTCTCCCTCTTTCATCCAATCCTTTTCCTGCTGAGTGGCGTTCCTTGGCTTTAACCACATGTCCTTCCTCTTCCCTTTGAGCTGAAAAGTCAAAAGAAGAAATATATGAGCACTGGAAAAGCCACTATAAAGCAAACTGCTGATTTTAAAAATAAAGGTGCCTATTCACAGGTTGATTTAGAGAATTGTTTTGGCATGTACCTAAATGCAGCTGATCTCCACAAGATGTAAAACTGCACTAAAACTCAGATACCAGAACTCAAACAGACATTGAGAAGCCCTTCCTGAGTGAAGCCACTTGCCCAAGGGGTTAAGATATCCTATAGAAATTCCATGTGCTCAGGACAGCTCTTGGGCCCAAGAAACAGTGATAGCAGTAAGCTATCCTGCACACCAAAATGCAGAGCTCCAGGAGATGAGATCCAGATTTTCCTGTGAGCAGAAGGTGGATGTTTGGTGGTGCTGCAGGCAGGCAGCTCTTCAAACGAGCTCCACACATGGGAACAAACATGACCAAAGGCCTCACACCCAACGGGAAGCTGCTGAAAATCTGGTGCTCAGAGTGGGCACTGAGCCCTGGCAAATCCAACTCCCATCCCTGCTGAAAATCTGTCACCACATCATCAATGTTAAAAGACAGGTTTTTCAAATGGGAAAAGCGCGTTTATCACCCTCAGCAAACTCACGATCAACACAAGGCATAATTGCTCAAATGTCAAATAAAAATTCTCGGCTGAGCAAACACCACGCGTGGACCTTTTTTGATCCCCAAATATGAATGCTTTAGAACAGGATGAGCATGTGGCCAGCGGGGCTGGAATGGAGAGTGCTTTGTAACCTTAACTCTACCAGGCGTGATAAAGTGCCCGCTATCATGAAAAAAAGCTCATCTGAAAGACAGAGGGAAACCAGATGGGAAAAGAACACAAACTCTCAGCAGGAATTTCAGGGATTTTTTTTTTTTTAACATTGCTTTCAATTTTTCCAAAATAAAAATCTCATCTCATTGCTCGATGCTAAGTATAAATATAGTCTGATCCACCTGAGGCATTCTGAGGGCAAGGCTGAAAGGTGAGGGTTAGCTCTGGAGCTGGAGCTGCAGCCTCCCATCCCATCGGGATCTGTGAGCCCAGCCCAGGGGAGCGAGTACTGCCAGCCCCTCCACCCCCCAGGCACCTGGGGCTGCAGGAGTGCCTACCTCAGCTATTGCTGACTGCAACACCTTGGCTACTTCTGCTACTGCAGTTCTTTCTGCTGCCCTAGCAAATGCTTCAGCCACTCTTTCTGCTGCTGGGTTTTCCGATGCTCCCACCACAACTGCTGCTGCTCCTTCAGGAGTGACCATCTTCCCCACTGGGCTTTCTGCCTCTGGCATTGCAGCTGTTTTTTCTGCTCCTTCCACCTCGGCTTGTGATGCTGTTGCATCCTTCCCTGCTTCCTCTGGGGCTGTGACAGCCAGCAGCTCCATGTCCCCTGCCAGGTCACCGGCAGCCAGCGCAGCAGGAGGATTCTTCCTTCCCTGGGGACAGCACAGTCATGGAGCTGGCCTGGAACCTGCTGGCAGAAACAGAATGTGAAGCAGCACAAATAAAGAAATGTGTTTTCTGGTGTCACTACAAGGGGACCAGTGACAGGTCCTGGAGCCAGCAAGGACTGGCTTTCACATGGCCTGCCTTGTCCATAGCAGCCCAGAGCAAAAGGCCAGGATTCACAGCACTTGTGCAGTAGCACAGTTTTGACTGTCTTGTCCTAGCCCCATGTTCTCCTGTGGACTGCAGCCACTATTGAAGTTTTGAACCAAGGCAAAGCTCACACTGTATCCCAAAACATCTCAGTGCCTCATATCAAGTGGTTTGTGCAGCAAAAAGGAGAATAAAAGGGAGGCTGACTCTTTCTCAAGATACATTTTTGATTAATATTCCCGGAAAAAAACCCAACATTCTCTACAGAGAAAACAGCATAAAATCCAGGGAACATGCAAGTCAAAGTGTTTTTTTCAAATTGTCATATTCTTCTATGAAAAGAATCTGAGGGTCATGTCCACAGGTTGGGAATAGCAGGCTTGGGTCAGACAGACATGATGTGTCTTGTCCCAGAGTTTTGCTAATGCATCTCACTTCTGACCTGCCCCAGCCTCCCTGCTGTAGTCTGTGCTCCCCATACACACCTTGGCTGTTTGGCTTCAAACTCTCTCTGCAGTCTCATAAGTTTTCAACTGGCATGTTTTTCCCAAATGCCATGGGAGGTACAGGTGAAATTTTGACAATCCAGTTATCTTTTCTGGTAAATACACAAGAGACACTGGTAGAAGAGATCCATAACTATCTAATTGCATGTATTAATCAGGTTTTGTATTAGAAAGATCCTCTACCAAGTGTAGCTGCTATTAGGTCAAAATGTAGCTTGCAGTGAAGTAAATGAGTAATTCCCATAACAAACTTTGAGAGGTGTTGTATTGTAGATGCTGCTACTCCTCCCTAGTGGTACCTACTCCAGTCTAGAAATCGGGACAAGTCTGAGAGGTGATGCTGGATGGACTAAATGGTATGAATTCAGAGCACAAGTTTAGGAGTCAGAAAGAGTCATTGAATCTGCTCATATCCACTGACTTGGGCAGGAAAAAACCAAACCACTATTTGATTAATTCCTGCATGTTTTGTCCCATCTCTCTTAGAGAGATGAACACAGGCAGTGGATTAACACACAAGTAACTTTTTGGCTTTGATTACACAGCAATGCAAAGATTCTTGCAGCATGGAGACATCCTCAAGCTGGCTGTAACCCTGCCAGCACCACACCAGGGTTTGGCACAGCTCACAACCCCCTGCACACCTCAACGGGCAGTCCCAAGAAAAGGACAAGTAACACTTGACAGATGTGCTGAGAAACTGGGATCGGCGGGGGACCCTGATGCAAGCACATGGAGGACACTGGCCGTTCCCAAGCTCACATATGCTCCATAAACTACTGGCAGGAACTCGGGCAGGCCTGATGAAATAGTGATGACACCACTGTTCAATGCTGCTTAGCATCAGTAATTAAAAAGAAAAAAGGAGGAAAAGTAAGATGGAGAGCTATGAAAGGTCAGGATGGAATACACAAAAAGTGCTAGGGTTGAAAAAAAGACAATAGTTGAGAAAAAAGGTAAAAGGAGAGCAGAGAAGATAGAGGGGAAAAACTGGAGAAGAGAGAAACGGGACACAGATTGTCACTGCTGAGAGTTGTGCCCAAATGCACTTAGAGAGAAGACAGGGGCCGAAAGGCACCCGAAGTGTCCTGTCACAAACACCTACATCCTTGTGGACACAAGTCAGTCACTTGCTCACTGAACAAGTTACCTGCATATCTGCTTCATTAAATAGTAACCCTGTAGGTCTGCTGACAAGAACATACTTCTCTCTCCTTTGGTAATTAGCCCCGAAGGCTGGTCATGCTCACTGGCCATGAAACGCTGCAACAAGCAGCCTTTTCATGCCTGGAGCTTACCTTTGTCCCTGTGTGTTCCCAGGCCGGTGAGGGCAGGCCCGATGCCCGCCTGGTGCTGCTGCTGCCCGGCCGCCTCAGTCCCACCCGCCCGGAGGCTGCCGGCGTCTCTCAGCGGGGCCGAGATGAGCTCCCCGAGAAACCGGGAACTTTCAGCCTTCTCCTCCTGCTTGGACAACACCCAAGGGCAGACTCGGCAGCAGCAATTTGCTGCCAGTCAGCTCCAGACAGCTGCAATTTGATATGCTGGGAAGAGGAAGGGTCTTACAAGGCTCCAGAAGTCCAGGAGAGGAAGATACAGGGTTTTGTGTCAGGAGCTGGACAGGAACAGGAGGCTCAGCCCTTCTGCAGAGGCTGGGCACGCTGTTTGCTCAGCAAACCTGAAGCTGGGGCTCAGCAGTTTTCTCTCACTTTTGCCACCAAGGACAGGATTGTGCTGGCCCCAGTCAGTGACTTAGTCGTAAGAGCACCAAGAGACTCAAACCTATTTTAACAAATATAAAATACCTCCTAACGTTCCTGCAATGTGGGTTGAGTTAAGCTAAAGCTGACATGAACACAGTGTAAGGAATTAAAATGGTTTTGGATTTTTTGGGTTTATGTTTTTCTAAATTACTTTTCTTGTCAAAAAATAAAGAAAGCAGGTTACTAACACTTACCCCACTTACCCTGTTAGGAGCCTGAAAAGAAGCATACATAGCCCAAAGCTTTAGCTTTATGATCACATTTCCCCTCCAAAATATTTTGGAGATAAATTCCAGGCGCTTCAGCCTGGAGAACTCCACTGGAGAACAGTGCAAAGATTAAAACCAAACATATTGCCAGTAATTCCTAGCAGCCTGTTCCAGCAGTGGGACCATGAACCTGGGAATGAACCTTCAGCTGTGCTTGACTCAAGATAAGACCCTGAGTAAGTCCTACCTGCCACTCTGGCCTGCAATACTCTGCAGGGGCAATGACTGAGAATTAGCAAAGGTTATTCCTTATTTTATGGTGTCTGAGGTCTGGTCACTCCAAGTCTGTTTTTTCAAGAAGCTCGCTGCCTGCCTGCACTGTTTTTGTATATGTACATATTAACATTTTGACCCGTTTGCATGGGGGGCAATTTCACCTCCTAGCCTCGAGTTTAACCTCATGAATTTCCTCTAGGCCACAAGAACATTACCCTGCTGCTTCCCCAGGAGAGTAGGATGGCAGGATTTTGGATCAGGCCACCACTCAGCTGCACCACACTGTCAAAGTCCACCACCCTCTGCCCTGCTCACTCTGATGCCAGACCTGCATCTGTCCCAACCTGACCTCCTTTTCCCAAGCACTTGTATGCTTGGCTCAAGGCTCTCTGTAGGTAAACTCCCTTGTGCTACACAAGCCCTGTTCCTTCCACCAGAGACCACTTCCAAGTCTGTTTTCTGCTCTGCAACAATTCTGTTCATGGAGGGACATAGTTTGCAAAAATCTTTTAAAATCTCTCCCACCATTAGGCACTCATCTAATCTGCCCCCAGTCCAATTGTTTATGTCTGACTAATGTTCATTGCTTCAAAATCAGTTTGGAGCTAATGCTGTGTCTACCAGTTAAATGTCTGATGGAATGACATCAAAATCAAAACAGACAGAAAAGAAGTATTTCCCTTTGATATGCTGACCACATTGTACAAAACTCACTATTATAAGACTCAGGTTGCTTAGAATTTTGCCAGACTTTAATGTTTTGAATTTAAGCTTTTGATGCTGGTTGTCTGCCCTGCTGGAATACAGGGTGAAAATTTCAGCTAATGCAGTTCATCTACTACAGGAAAGCTTTTTACCCCAGTTAAAAAAAGAAAAACAACAAACAACAGATATCTTGTGCAAACTTTTTGGTTGAATAATGTCAGTGCTATCATTTGGAGCCCTGCTTTAAATTTTGGCAGGAAGGTCACAATGGTGCCAGGGAATAATTATTTACAAGAAGAGTAATGCACCTTTGTCCAAGCTGTGAGCCCCTGAAAAATCAGTTTGCATATGTTCTGTAGTGATTTGTGATAGGCAGCAAAAATATTTTTCAAAGTCCTGATTTCACAATCTCAATAGTCTTTCAGTGCAGTGTTGGTTTCTTTTAATGTAATCTATAAAAATAGCCAGTGACCTTTAGTGACATCTAAACAGGCTCCCAGTTTCCTTCCATGGTTTGAAGCCTTAAACAATAGCCCCAAAGAAATGACTCAATACCACACACACATGTACTTGATGCCTGGGAAATTGCTGGTTGCTGGTCAGCAAGAACAAGGAGATTCACACAGCTCCAATGCATGGCAGCTTCAGGGAATTTGGGGAACTCAAGGCATCAAAGGCCTGAGATGCAGGAAACCAACATTCTCCCAGCCACCACTGTGAACTCCAAGCAGTGTGAGGATGCCTACGAGTTTTGAGTGAAAGATAATGAGGGTAAAAAAACCTTTTGGGATTCCACGGGATGTTGTGGCTCCACTCACTGAGCTGCCATGTGCTGAGCTCCCAATTTCTCAGCCCAGGCTGCTCAAGTCTTTCACTGTGGCAGAGTGGGGGATTTGTGCTCCCAAATCAGTATATTCTTATATTAGGGCAGAAGCATTAAATTACCCTTGTTCTTCAAGGAGGAGGAAGTTTCAGAATCCTATTAGGCAAAATTCACCTGACACCAGCTTTTAATATGTGTATGTATAACCTCAGACAGAAAGAAACCTTTGACAGCTCAGCTGGTGGAACTGTTGCCTTTAGACCACAAGCAATGTGTGTGAAACCTGAGAGAGGAAATCTGCAGGTTTCTGAATAAATCAGGATTCTGGAAGTGGGGTCAGCCTTCTGTCTGATGGTCACAATATGGCAACCACCAGTGTCCAAGGACAGTGGGCAGTTTGCAATGGATTATGTCGTTGCTCTGGAACCCCTGTGTCCCAAGGACTTCTTTTCTATATACCTGCCAAAGCTGCTATTTACCCAACATAGCCATAGCATTGGGTCATTAAACAATACTGATGGCAATGCCCAGAGAATTCCAAGCACCTATTGTACTATCACTGAATTCCTCCTTTGATCACCATGGTCAGAAAT